TTGTAGAATAAAGAAAACTACAATTAGTGCAATTTAGATGAAACACTCAAGTGAAAAAACTAGGATTACTTGATGTTCACTTTCTACACTGGATCTTTAAAACACAGAGAGAATTGTCAGTTGATGAGTTTAAACTCTTGCAGCTGTCGCATCACATTAAAGCTCACACGTCTGAACTTCATGAGAAATAGTTGCTGGACATTAACGTTGAACACGAGGAGACACAAACGTTTCACAGACTGTGCTCTTCATCATCCTCATCGTCAGCTCAGCTTGTTTCCTTCGACATCTGGTGAAGGTTGAAATAACGACTCGTCGTTTTCAGTCGACTTCAGTTTGAAATGTTCTCATGTGTCGAACCTGAGGCTCAAATGTTGCAGGAGCTGCTGCAGACACAAATACAAAGTGTGTGTGTGTGTGTGTGTGCGCGTGCAGGTGGAGATGGAGCTGCAGCTGTTGGCGGAGCGGGAGGAGGAGGCGTCTCGTCAGGCCGTCCTGGAGCAGGAGAGGAGGGACAGGGAGCTGGCGCTGAGGATCGCCCAGAGCGAGTCGGAGCTCATCCCAGAGGAGGCGGCCATCGACTCGGGCCTGCGCAGGTAAAAAACAACCAGCGTCCACGTCTCTGCTCCTCTGGAACGTTCTCAAAGATCTTTGTTCGCTCTCAGTCTCTGGGACCTTGTGATTCAGAGGCTGAGTGAGTGGGAGGATCATTCTGTCGACAAACCTTTGTGTCTTTGTCTCTCGGTGCTGACGGAGATCTGCGGCTCAAAATGTGCTTCAAAAGAAGAAACACTTAGATCCACCAGTGAGAAGCTCAAACAAACACTCAGATGTTTTTCATTAGACTCCTCCAGTTTATTATCTGATGGATAAATGATTCAGACGAAATGTTTAAAGAGTAAATGTTTGATTTAATTCACCTGAGCCATCGTTTCTTCTTCATCTGATTTAATTTCTAATAATCATTCGTTAATTCTTCTGACGCCCAGAGCCAGAAGAATTTTCAGATTGTTCGTCCGTCAGTTTCTCAAAAAGACTTTGAGGGAATTTCTTAAAATCTGGATGAAACGTTCTTAGATGAAGTGCTTAGGTTCTGCAGGTCAAAGGTCACGGTGACGCTTTCAGCCTCTGACCTCAGGGAACCTGCTGTGAGTCTGTACAACCACACGGATGAGTCTCGTCTGTTGTAACCATGTTTTCTTTCGACAGTTCATCCTCTGACCTCCGTGAGCTGGACGAGATGAAACCAACTTTTAAAAATGAATCATGTGCAGCTCAGCCTGACCTCAGAAATTAAATTAGACATCAAGCAGTTATTGAAACCGATCTGCTGCTTTGAGAACCGCAAAGAAAACTAAACTTCCCACGTGAACTTCGCTTCACTCGCACAGTTTCTGTCACGTCTCGGTCCGACAGGAAGCGTGACGGGTCGGCAGGCGAGCGTAGAGGATTCAAAGGCAGCTGAGGATGTGACACGTTGCTCACAGTGTTTACGATCTGTCAACAGCCAGAGAGATGGAGGAACGTCCAGGTTTCCTGTTTCACAGTTTGAAAGATTCGTTTGAACTCTTTGCTCCTGTCGTCTTCTGCAGATCAGCTTCCTGCTGACGGAATAAAACTCCATCTCCATTTCTGTGTTTAACCATCTTCTTCTTCTTTGTTTTCTTTTGTTTTTTCTTCCTCCCAGCAACGGCTCTTCACTTCCATCGTCCCCAGAGAGAGCAGCGTAAGACCCGGAGCTTTAACCCTTTAATTGAATCCCTGATCCCACCTGCCTCTGACCTTTAAACTGAAACCTCCGTCCCCTGCATGCTGTAACAATCTGCCAGCACAGAGCTCCAGCTAACAAGTCACTGCTTTAACAGAAGATTCTCTTTATTATCTTCTGACACACACACAGATCCTTTGAAATTTCTATTTGATGAACATGAATCTCGTCCTCTGATCCGAGTTCTGAAGCTGAATCGCTCCTGATGAGCTGCGGGGGAAAGGAATCACCTCTCCCCTTGATTGGTTTCTTGTATTGTGCCGACTCATAATCCCATAATCCTCTGTTCACAGCTCTGCCGGAACCCCAAAGCTGACGAGCATGAGCATGTAGGTTTCCACTCGACGCACAAACACCTTCCGGACACCGTGCGGCGTCACACGTCGATGTTGTTATTCAGAGAAGCTTCCCGACACGTTGCCGCGGTGTGAGCGGCTCGTGGGCCTCAGAACGCCCTCGCTCTCCTCTGGGCTCTCGGCCCAGAGCGAGCCACATACAAAGTCACTCTGAAAGCTGAGCACGATGCTTCACGTCGTGACTCAGCCGTAGTAGAGGCTGCATCGCGCTGTTCGAGGACGCTGAAGTGGTTCATCGTAGCTGCTCGTGCACCGGGAGCGCTCGGTCCTCCGTCCTCTTCTTCTCTCAAGTGTTTGTTTTATTCCTCCTCTTGTAGTGAACTTTGCATCACTTCAGTATTTTCAGTTTCCTCTGTGAACTTCCTGAAGCTGTTTTAAAGCTGCAGGCAGAAAACTTGATTTATTCAAAGACACTTTTCTCAGCTTCAGCGTCAACAAGAAGCGTTAGCAGGTTATTTTAAGAACAGGCCACACCCTCACTTCTTTATCTTCATCCGTTCGTCTTCTTCGTCTCCTCAGATCTTTTTTCTTTCTCTCACTTTTATTCTTGACTTTAATCTTGTTTACTGGCAGTAGAATAAAAGAACTGTGTCTCTGCCGTCTGCTGAGAAAAACCTGTTTGATGAATTTCAACAACAACATGGAAATTTGTGGGCGGTACACTAACAGTATAAATCAGCCTTTATTCTACACTAAATATATATTCAATTCATTTTAAAGCATACAGATAATTTCAAGACGAGTTTCTCATCTTTTCTATCATGTTTCCTGTCGACTGAATATTTTTGGGTTTTTAGAAAAACTCCACAGATCACGTAATAACTTCTTTTTTTTCTCCACGTCGGCACCTTCGTGCTTTTCAGGGAAGAAATGGCCAAAGAAATGTCTGAACTTCTGGCTCGGTGGGTAGAACTCCAACAAGCTGCAGAAAATCTCTCCACACAATCAAATCCGAATCTTTAGATCGACTCAACGCTTGATTGAAACAACGTGCGGTGCAGAAATCCTCCGTTGATTTGATTGTTGTCGATCAAAATGTAATTGAAGAATGTTGATTGAAATCAAACTGGTAAATTGAATTCGTGCAGCATCAGGTTGTTGATTGATGTTTGTCTCGTTAATCCGTCGACGATTAAACAAATCTGAGGTGAATCTACGAATGTAAAGAGTTTAATGAGATATTTAAAATTTGATCTGAATTTGAATTGAAATGTTTTCTGAAGTGAACAAACATTTAAAGTGTTTTTAATCAGGCGTCAGTGTCGAGTATTCAAAGACCAGTTGATCGTGGCGTGCCGAGTTAAGTTTCCCGCCCTCTTTAACCGCTCATCGACCCCGGCAGGTGAAATTAAATGGATCTTGACCGAGCACTTGCTCCTCGGATCACTGCGTTCCCCTGGATGTGAGTGAGTGACGTCTGTCGGCTAATTGGCTCAGGCCGCCCGTCACAATGCAACAAACACAGGAAGCGATCAGCCGCTAAGCACGCTGCCAGAGCCCGCCACATGCTCCTGGGAAAGCGGTGTGGCTCCGAGGGCCAGCTCCCGCTAATCGTGGGTCTCAGAGCCGTCCAATAGACTTCAGGAGGCGGCAGGGTCCCACCTCCAACTTCCCGTTGTTGTACAAAGGGTGAATCCCGGTCACGGATTAATCGGACCTGTCAGCGGCGAGCACGGCTCACAGCTGGGGAGGAGCCGCACACCTGACCAACACTCGTTTATTATTGAACAGAGCGAGACGCCTCTGACTTCCTGGCGACTGGGACAGCATGCGTTCCGTGGACGGCGTCCTCGCACCTGTAGAGTTCTTCTGTAGAAACCTGACTCTCTCCCTCTTAACAGTGATGAACACCCCCCCCTCCCCCACTGTCACCCTAACATCTGTAGCTGTTTCTCACATCTGTGATTCTTCTTCCTGTTTCTCTGACGACCTGCAGGTGGGCGGAGTTTACTGAGATGATTGTGGAGAAGTTTCTTTGACTCTTAGTTTTCTGAGTCTCTCAAACACGTCCTCGCCACCGTCAAATAGAAACGAGAGACCTTGATCTGTTTCCAGGTGTCAGATTCAAAGCAACAATATTCTGGAGTCACTCCTGAGACGCATCAGTAAACTCCGCCCACTTTACGAATTAATATATTTCTTGAAAACCTTTTTGACCCACGCTCCAAACCAAGCGAATAGCCCCGCCCCCTGACGCCCACTCGCCGCTCTGACTCTTTGTTGCTGACTTCCTGCGTTCCTTCTCGTTTCCCGTGTCAGAGGTCCACAGGTCCAGGCGTCCAAGGCGGCTGCCGGCACCAAGAAGTACGAACTGAGCAAGTGGAAGTACGCTGAGCTGCGGGACTCCATCAATACCTCGTGTGGTGAGTGTCCAAGCTTATATCATCGGCACGCAGGACAGTGTGATCCGGGTGTCCCGGTCTGTTTGAGCTCCGGAGTCATGTCACATAGGTCATGGTCCCCAGGGGGAGGATCATTTTGTCTCAAGTGCAGGTTTTCCACTAAACAACCACTTTAGTCTAAATCCTAATGAAGTTTATTATCGATGCTCGTGGTTTCCAGAGGTTGAACTCTAATCATTTGTCCCTGAGCTCCAGCCTCATGTCAGAGTCTGTCTCATTTGTCATGATCACGTTCTTGCTCCCAGAGGATGAACTACTTTATTATCAGGAAGAACAAAATAAATTGAAAAACTAATTTGCAGATATTCATTAATTTATTCTTAATTGTTAATCCTCAGAGGATGAACCCAAATGTCTTTGTTGCACAGACACGATTTCCTGGACATTCTGCAGAGCTCATGTCTGAGAACAACATAATCAACGTGCTGCTTTTGTCTTCTCACAGTTTGTTCTTTTGTAAAACCACTAAAAGCTTCTTCCTCCGAACCGAAACACGATGATGGTTCAAACCTCTCTGGACTGATTATGACTCAGTGACGCAGTCGATGCTGCAGAGAAGAAGACACTTTCCTCTTTATTCTGCTCATAATATTGAGTTTAACCTGCGAGCCGGCGCGTCCTCGCAGCAGGAAGCGTGGAGCAGGAGGGTCGACACCCGCCAGCGCCGCGCAGAGATTAATGTGTGGAGAGGCAGCAGAGCCCGCGGGCGGCCGCATATAAACACAGAGAAATGATTCAGTTAGCTGTTAACACGCCGCTCACCTCGCCTCCCAGACAGAGGAGGAAATCGAATACTGATGTGATCACGTCCGCCGCTCATGATGATGTGCAGCAGAATAACAGTCCAGCATCAGGAGGTTGTTGACATCTGACATATTCCAGATTATTCTGCCGTGATTTCAGCCCCTCAGTAAATTCAGGTGTTTGTTTTTTTTTCCTCTCAGCGTTTTTCTGCCTCCAAAGTATTTTTTGTTCAGTTGACATCACCTGAGCACTAAGTTTATCTGTGTGTGTGTGT